TGGCATCGACTGTGGACCCAGTCACTGGAGGCTGTTCATTGATTCATCAAAAACGAGTCTGAAAGTTGTCTTGCTCCATAACGGCAATAGTAAACCATCAGTTCCTGTGGGCTATGCACCACATATGAAAGAAACTTATGGGAATATAAAGCATATGTTGCAATGCATGAAATATGATGAACATCAATGGCAGCTCTGTGACGACTTAAATGTTGCTGCTCTTGTGATGGGCTTGCAGGGCGGATACACCAAGTACTGTTGCTTTCTATGTGAATGGGACAGCCGTGCAAGAGTTTCCCACTACATCAGGAGAGACTGGCCACCTCGTCAATCATTGGAGCCTGGGATGAAAAATGTTCAACATCCATCTTTCATTGAACCAAACAAAATTTTGCTACCACCACTACACATAAATCTGGGGCTCATGAAAACCTTTGTAAAAGCTATGGACAAATCCGGTCAGGAATTCAAGTATTTAACATCAAAATTCCCCTCACTGAGCGATGCTAAGATAAGATAGGGAGTCTTCAATGGTCCTCAGATTCGAGAGCTTCTTAAAGATGGTGACTTTGAATCAGACCTTCATGAGGAGGAGAAAGCTGCTTGGGAAGCATTCAAGTTAGAGGCGACGGGATTTCTCAGAAACAGAAGGGAAGGCAACTATGACGAACTGATGGAAAACCTCATCAAGGCTTACAAGAACATGGGATATAACATGTCACTTAAAATCCACTTTTTGGACTCACATTCAGATTTTTTTCAGCAAACTGTGAGGCAGTTAGTGACGAACATTGTGAAAGGTTTCACCAAGATATTTCAACCATGGAAAAATGGTACCAGGGGAAATCGGGCACAAGAATGCTTGCAGACTATTGCTGGACATTGGCAAGAGATGATTCTTCAGCCCACTTTAAGTGTCAAGCAAAAAAGCAGAGAGTAGGTACGGATTAGAGTTTAAAACATACTGACACGTATTGTACGTTATAATAAAATAATGAAATATTACATGTCTCGTATCTTTAAACTTATAATCAATCAGCATTTTTCAAGGTGATATTTGGATTCAGGACATGAAAATACATAAGAATTAACTAATCTCATTTAAGAAGCATACAACTCTTCAAAAATTGTTGACCAGTGTTATGATTTGGTAAGGGAGCTTGTCGATAGAGACGGCCTGTTTTGTGTGAGTGCGCATGTGCATGTATGTTATATGTGTGAGTGTGTGTGTGTGTGTGTGTGTGTTGTGTGTGTGTGTGTGTGCACACACACACACACACACACACTTTATGTGGATCAAGCTTCCACTACCATCTCCAGTTCACCCCACATGTTCTAGATCACAAAACTTATTCCAGTTCACACCACTTGTTCACAAGTCTAACACTAAGAATGTGCTTGGTAACGCCACCTGTGGGTCAGTATTCTGGTTCCAGCTGTCCTGGTCAGCGCTGTCAATGCGTCTCTGATTACCATCTGAAATGTGCGTCATTATCTTATATCCGCGGGCGCGTCCAGTGACGTTAATGTGTGTATGTATGTATGTGTGTGTGTGTGTGTGTGTGTGTGTGTGTGTGTGTGTGTGTGTGTGTGTGTGTGTGTGTGTGTGTGTGTACTTTCCTAGTTGAGGTTGCAGGGGTCGAGTCCGAGCTCCTGGCCCGCCTCTTCACTGGTCGCTACTAGGTCACTCTCCCTGAACTTTGAGTTTTATCATACCTCTGCTTAAAGCTATGTATGGATCCTGCCTCCACTACATCGCTTCCCAAACTATTCCACTTACTGACTACTCTGTTGCTGAAGATATACTTCCTAACATCCCTGTGATTCATCTGTGTCTTCAACTTCCAACTGTGTCCCCTTGTTACTGTGTCCAATCTCTGGAACATCCTGTCTTTGTCCACCCTGTCAATTCCTCTCAGTATTTTGTATGTCGTTATCATATCCCCCCCTATCTCTCCTGTCCTCCAGTGTCGTCAGGTTGATTTCCCTTAACCTCTCCTCGTAGGACATACCTCTTAGCTCTGGGACTAGTCTTGTTGCAAACCTTTGCACTTTCTCTAGTTTCTTTTCGTGCTTGGCTAGGTGTGGGTTCCGGACTGGTGCCGCATACTCTAATATGGGCCTAACGTACACGGTGTACAGGGTCCTGAACGATTCCTTATTAAGGTGTCGGAATGCTGTTCTGAGGTTTGCTAGGCGCCCATATGCTGCAGCCGTTATTTGATTGATGTGCGCTTCTGGAGTTGTGCCTGGTGTCATACTCACCCCAAGATCATTTTCCTTGAGTGAGGTTTGTAGTCTCTGGCCCCCTAGACTGTGCTCCGTCTGCGGTCTTCTTTGCCCTTCCCCAAACTTCATGACTTTGCACTTGGTGGGATTGAACTCCTGGAGCCAATTGCTGGACCAGGTCTGCAGCCTGTCCAGATCCCTTTGTAGTTCTGCCTGGTCTTCGATCGAATGAATTCTTCTCATCAACTTCACGTAATCTGCAAACAGGGACACCTCAGAGTCTATTCCTTCCGTCATGTAGTTCACAAATACCAGAAACAGCACTGGTCCTAGGACTGACCCCTGTGGGACCCCGCTGGTCACAGGTGCCCATCCTGACACCGCGCCACGTACCATGACTCGCTGCTGTCTTCCTGACAAGTATTCCCTGATCCATTGTAGTGCCTTCCCTGTTATCCCTGCTTGGTCCTCCAGTTTTTGCACTAATCTCTTGTGTGGAACTGTGTCAAACGCCTTCTTCAGTGTGTGTGTGTGTGTGTGTGTGTGTGTGTGTGTGTGTGTGTGTGTGTGTGTGTGTGTGTGTGTGTGTGTGTGTGTGTGTGTCTGTGTGTGTGTGTGTGTGTATGTACTTACCAGTGCATGTTGTAATAGATCTCATACGAATACCTAGAGTGAGGAGGATGGGAAAAGTTAATATACATAGAGAGAGAGAGAGAGAGAGAGAGAGAGAGAGAGAGAGAGAGAGAGAGAGAGAGAGAGAGAGAGAGAGAGAGAGAGAGAGAGAGAGAGAGAGAGAGATGGAGAGAGGGAAAGGAAGGGAAGTAAATAGTAGAGATGACCATAATAATGCCTGCGTCATCCGTCGTAACTCTGCATCATGCATTGTAACTGCGTCATCCATCGTAACTCTGCGACTTCCATCATAACTCTGCGTCCGTGACTATGCGTCGTCCTCCGCAACTCTGCGTCGTCCTTAATGACAGGGAAGTGACACGATTAGAAAGACGAACATTGAAGCAGCCCACTACACTAGTTGCTTCAGTGTTGCCCAAGGTGTGATTTAACTTTACCCCAGCAAGACACTGACGATACAAGAGCAATGCTGAAGGAATCCTCTGAAGCTGCCGGAAATTCAGCCTGCTGTTGTTCCCACTATGTAGCTATCACATAGAATAGTGTAGCAGCATACTGCTGTTGTAACTAATTCTGTTACGGCTATAGAGTCGCCTCACCCAAATGGGTGTGTGTATATATTTGCGTATGCATACATGTGTAGTGTGACCTAAGTGTAAGTAGAAGTAGCAAGATATACCTATTATCCCGCATGTTTATGAGACAAAAAAGACACCAGCAATCCTACCATTATGTAAAACAATTACAGGTGTCCGTTTTACACACACTTGGCAGGACGGTAGTACCTCCCTGGGTGGTTGCTGTCTACCAACCTACTACCTAAGATTTATGTGTGTGTGTGTGTGTGTGTGTGTGTGTGTGTGTGTGTGTGTGTGTGTGTGTGTGTGTGTGTGTGTGTGTGTGTGTGTGTGTGTAGTATGTGTGTGTGTGTGTGTGTGTGTGGTGTGTGTGTGGGTGTGTGGTGTGTGTGTGTGTGTGTTGTGTGTGTGTGTGTGTGTGTGTGTGTGTGTGTGTATGTGTGTGTGTGTGTGTGTGTGTGTGTGTGTGTGTATGTGTGAGTGTGTGTGTGTGCTTGAAGTGTGTGTGTGTGTGTGATGATTGTGTGTGTATCATGTATGTGTGTGTGTGTGTGTCGGTGGTCGTACGTGTGTCGTGGTCTGTGCTGCTGTGTGTTGTGTCGAGTCCTGTGTGTGTGTGTGTAGTATGCATGTGGTATGTATGTGCTGTGGCTCGACCTTCGTGTGTGTGTGTGTAAGTAGTTGATCGTGCATTGTTAGTAGATGTTATGTGTGGTGTATGTTGTTGTGTGTGTGTGTGTGTGTGTTGTGTGTGTCTGGTGTGTCTGTACTGTGTGTGTGTGTTTGTGTGTGTGTACTTGCATTATACTAAAAAGAGATTATATCCCACTGACAAACACTTATTTCTTAGCCTCTAATCTGATCTCTGATCTCCACTGCTCAATCTCTGCTCTGCCGTAGGACCAACCGGAACGACCCTCCTGCACGTCCACCCACCCTTACAGCGTCAACCGCCCACCCCCTCTCCCGCAGCCCCACCTTCCCGCCCTCCCCGCCGTCCAGCACCCCCTCTCCCGCACGCCCACCCACCCACCTACATAACCCGCCCACTCGCCCACCCTTCCGCTTCCCACCAACCTCGGTAACCACCACAAATCCGGCCACATTGCTCCCACAAGGAGATCTAATGCCCGTGAGTGGGGTTGTTGCTGTCACATGGAGGATTTAATCCTGTTTCCTGCTGGCATGTCCTGTCACCCAGGCTCTCACCTCCTCTCATGGACCAGATTAACCTCCCTTGTTTTTTATATTAACGTCGTTTTAAAACACTCTTCTTCGCGCCCGTGTGTGTGTTTGGATGTTCTCCTCTCCTTGTTTAGGTGTTTGTTCTCGTGTAGAGTTAATCAGGGTGTAGCGTGGTGCGATAAACTACACTGATGGAGTGTTTAACTAAGAGTATTTCATTATTCCGCCTGGTTCTCCTGGCGGCCACTAGATGGCAGTGGCGTCCAAGGACTTGCCCGGCCCCTCCACCGCTCGTTGCCAAGCATCTCCGAACGTTCCTCTTCATTCGTTTATATCCACCACATAACACCTCACAGAGGGCATTAGAACCTCTCTAAGTCGTGTTATACCTCGTTGCTAAGGTGGCTGCTGCCCGACAGCCCCGTGGAGGAGTCAGGTATCACACTCAGCATCATTATCATCTCAAAATCGTCGAGGTTTCATCTCATCTCATGGAGGAGCCGAGGGGCGGGACTATGATATGTAACGAGCGCCATGATTGGCCATTACCACAAGTGACATCATCTGAATTTCAATATCTCTTTTCAATGTGATTTTTCTCTGACATGCCATTTTTACATTAGGGTATTGGCGCGGCATGAGGAGATTGTTAGAAAGCGAGCTGATACACGCGAGCAAGCATTCATGTGCACTCTGTCAGAAAGTAGGCTGTCGACACACCCTTGGGCGAGCACTTAGGCTGCGGGAGCCGTGTGTTCCGACCCCGCCGACTGCGGTCTCACTGGACCGTGCCGTCCCCGCTGGTCCACCTCCCATCATCATCTCCTCTCAGTGACCGCTTGGGATTATTGTGCGCCGCCCGCGTCCACGCGGATATATTTGAAGGGCGAGTCACAAGGACATAGAGGTTATATAAGAGGCGCCGAAGAGGTGGATCTTGACCGCAAGTGACCCGCAGAGTGAGATGAACGACTGACCGCTGAGATTCTTGACCCCCTCCCACGTGTCTTGTGCTTCCCCTTCTGTCAGCTGAAAGAAAACGGAGTGTTCGAGTGTCTCCTGCGAGCGATAAACTGGAACTTCATTTGAGTTGAAACTATAGAGCTTCTGACTCTGGGTAAACAGGGAGAACAATAGGCGGAATCATCGCTGAGAACCTCTTCTCCTTCTTAAACGATCTCTAGCCTCCTCGAGCTGTGAGATCGAAGTCCTCACCAGCTCTCGACGTCACCCACACGCTTCACCAATACACAGCTACGATGTTCAACCTCTCCGAGCTGGGGTCGCTGGAGGCACCGTCGGCAGCGTCTCCTGCAACGTCGCTCACGCCTACGTCAGCGTCAAGCACCAACACCACCACTTCCAAGACCGAGGACCACGTGAAGCGTCCCATGAACGCCTTCATGGTGTGGTCCAGGATCCAGAGGAGGAAGATCGCGCTGGAGAACCCCAAAATGCACAACTCTGAGATCTCCAAGCGGCTGGGAGCCGAGTGGAAGCTCTTGACGGACTCAGAGAAGAGGCCCTTCATTGACGAGGCTAAGAGACTCAGGTAAGAGAAATTCGTCACGCATTTTGACCCATTTCAATCCATCATGGCAACACAGTAGCAACTAAACCGACACGACGAAAATAAGACACACTATGCCGACTATGTCATTTTATTGTGACGACATTTCGCCCACCACCAACTTTATCAGTAAAATGCCACAACCCGCATTGTGCGTGTTTATTCAGAATCTCGAATATTACTGATGTTACACACTTCCCACAACCTGCTAGTGAATAAGACACCTGTGCAACACTTACGAAATAAAGTCGCCAAAGTGTTGCAAAAGTCTCATTCATCATTCACTCGCATCATTCCTAACACGCGATGTATTTACTAAGCACATTTAAATGTTAAAGGTATTGCTGCATGTTAGAAATTATGTGTTATCCTTCACAAAAAAAAAAAAAATAGAAAAAAAATTACCATAACTCATCTCAATAATAAACGACACTGAGTCGAAACATCTGACCAAATGATACGAAGGTGACGGCCTCACATGTCAATAACTGTTGTACCACGTTTCGCTCACCCTTAATCACTTATTATTGATATTCTTTTCTATGTCCCATTGAAGACGCTGTATATATATATATATATATATATATATATATATATATATATATATTTATATATATATATATATATTATATATATTATAGTATAATGATGTAATAATGATATATATATATATATATTATTGATAGTTATATATGTATATATCATCGTAGAATGGGGCAAGGGTGAGTGGTATATGGAGGTTGAGTGTGAATATGTGAAGGTGTGTGAAATGAGGTCAGCATGTGTGAAGATAGTGTGAGTGCGAATGGTGAAGGTCAGCAAGTGTGAAAACGCTGATGGTGTGAGTGTGAATACGTAGGGGTAAGTGTAAGATGTGAGTGTGTATGGTGAGTGTGAAGGGCGTGGTGGAATGTAAAGATGGTGAAGGAGTAAGTGTGAGAATGGTGAGGGAGAAAGTGTGAGGATGGTGAGGGAGGTAATGTGAGGATGGTGAGAGAGTAAGTGTGAGGATGGTGAGGGAGAAAGTGTGAAAGGAGTGAGGGAGGATGTGGAGGATGGTGAGGGAGTACGTGTGTGAGATGGTGAGGGAGAAAGTGTGAGGATGGTGAGGGAAAAAGTGTGAGGATGGTGAGGGATAAGTATGAGGATGGTGAGGGGAAATGTGAGGATGGTGAGGAGAAAGTGTGAAATGGTGGAGGGAGAAAGTGTGAGGATGTGAGGGAGTAATGTGAGGATGGTGAGGAGAGTGTGAGAATGGTGAGGAGTAAGGGGTGAGGATTGGTGAGGAATGTGAGGATGTGAGGAGTAAGTGTGAGGATGGTGAGGGAGTAAGTGTGAGGATGGTGAGGAGAAGTGTGAGGATGGTGAGGGGGGTAATGTGAGATGGTGAGAGGAGTAAGTGTGAGGATGGTGAGGGAGAAGTGTGAGGATGGTGAGGGAGTGTGAGGATGGTGAGGGAGTAATGTGAGGATGGTGAGGAGTGTGAGGATGGTGAGGAAAGTGTGAGGATGGTGAGGGAGTGTGAGGATGGTGAGGGAGTGTGAGGATGGTGAGGGAGTGTGAGGATGGTGAGAAAAAGTGTGAGGATGGTGAGGGAGTTGTGAGATGGTGAGAGTGTGAGGATGGTGAGGGAGTGTGAGGATGGTAAAGGAAGTGTGATGATGGTGAGGAGAGTGTGAGGATGGTGAGGGAGTGTGGAGGATGGTGAGGTAGTGTGAGGAGGTGAGGAGATGTGAGGATGGGTGGAAGTAAGTGTGAGGATGGTGAGGAGTAGTGTGAGGATGGTGTGGGAGTGTAGAGGGTGAGGGAGTAGTGAGGATGGTGAGGAGAAGTGGTGGGAGGTGAGGGAAGTTGTGAGGATGTGAGGGAGTAAGTGTGAGGATGTGAGGGAGTAAGTGGTGAGGAAATGGTGAGGAGAGTGTGAGAATGGTGAGGGAGTGGAGGATGTGAGGAGGTGAGGAGGTAAGTGTGAGGATGGTGAGGGAGTAATGTTGAGTGTGAGGATGGTGAGGAGAGTGTGAGGATGGTGAGGGAGTAAATGTGAGGTGGTGAGGGAGTAAGTGTGAGGATGGTGAGGGAGTGTGAGGTGGTGAGTGTGAGATGAGGATAATGTGGTGAGGAAGATGAAGGATGTGGGAAAGTGTGAGGATAGTGAGGGAGTAAGTGTGAGGATGGTGAGGGAGTGTGAGGATGGTGAGGGAGTAAGTGTGAGGATGGTGAGGGAGTAAGTGTGAGGATGGTGAGAGAGTAAGTGTGAGGATGTGGAGGGAGTAAGTGTGAGGATGGTGAGGGATAAGTGGAGTGGTGAGGAGTAGTGTGGATGGTGAGAGTAAGTGTGAGGATGTGAGGGAATAATGTGAGGAATGAGGGTAAGTGTGAGGATGGAGGAAGTGTGAGGATGGTGAGGGAATAAGTGTGAGGATGGTGAGGGAGTAAGTGTGAGGATGGTGAGGGAGTAAGTGTGAGGATGGTGAGGGAGTAAGTGTGAGGATGGTGAGGAGTAAGTGAGGATGGTGAGGAAGTAAGTAGTGAGGATGGTGAGGGAGTAAGTGTGAGGATGGTGAGGGATAAGTGTGAGGTATGTGAGGAAGTGTGGATGGGAGGGAATAAAGTGTGAGGATGGTGAGGAGTAAGTGAGGATGGTGAGGGAGTAAGTATAGGTGGGGGAGTGTGAGGATGGTGAGGAATGTGGATGGTGGGGAAATGTAGGATGGTGAGGGAGTAAGTTGAGGATGGTGGGAGGGTAGGTGAGGTGGTAAGTGGATGTAGATGGTGAGGGAATAGTGTGAGGATGTGGGGTAAGAGAGTGGTGAGGAATTAGGAGGAGGTGGGAGAGAGTTGAGGATGTGTGAGGTGATAGTGTGAGATGGTGGAGGTGTGAGGATGGTGAGGGAGTGTGAGGATGGAGGGAGTGTGGAGGAGGTGGGGAGGTGAGGATGGTGAGGAGTGTGAGGATGGTGAGGGAGTGTGAGGAAGGTGAGGGAGTGTGGAGTGAGAGTGAGGAGGTGAGGAGAGTGTGAGGATCGGAGGTGAGTGAGGATGTGAGGATGTAGGAGTGAGAGATGGTGAGGGTGTGAGGAAGGTGAGTGAGTGAGGATGGGTGAGGAGTGTGAGGATGAGTGTAGGAAGTGAGGAGTTGAGGATCGTGAGGGAGTGTGAGGATGGTGAGGGAGTGTGAGGATGGTGAGGGAGTGTGAGGATGGTGAGGGAGTGTGAGGATGGTGAGGGAGTGTGAGGATGGTGAGGGAGTGTGAGGATGGTGAGGAAGTGTGAGGATCGTGAGGGAGTGTGAGGATGGTGGATTGAGGATGTCAGCTGACTATGCTAGAGGTTTCGCCAGGGAACTGCTACTTGCTAACGCAGGGAACACGCTAGCTTGCAACACAGGGAAGGCGCTACTTGCAGACCAGGAAAGACGCTACTTGCACAGGGAGACGCTACTGCAACACAGAGTAGACTTGCAACACAGGAAGGCGCTACTTGCAACACAGGAAGAACGCTACTTGCAACACAGGGAAGCGCGCTACTTGCAACACAGGGAAGACGCTACTTGCAACACAGGGAAGGCGCTACTTGCAACACAGGGAAGACGCTACTTGCAACACAGGGAAGGAGCTACTTGCAACACAGGGAAGACGCTACTTGCAACACAGGGAACACGCTACTTGCAACACAGGGAAGACGCTACTTGCAACACAGGGAAGGCGCTACTTGCAACGCAGGGAAGACGCTACTTGCAACACAGGGAAGACGCTACTTGCAACACAGGGAAGGCGCTGCTTGCAACACAGGGAAGACGCTACTTGCAACACAGGGAAGGCGCTACTTGCAACACAGAGAAGACGCTACTTGCAAAACAGGGAAGGCGCTACTTGCAACACAGGGAAGACGCTTCTTGCAACACAGGGAAGGCGCTACTTGCAACACAGGGAACACGCTACTTACAACACAGGGAAGGCGCTACTTGCAACACAGGTAACACGCTACTTGCAGCACAGGGAAGACTACTCAACACAGGAAGACGCTACTTGCAACACAGGGAAGACGCTACTTGCAACACAGGGAAGACGCTACTTGCAACACAGGGAAGACGCTACTTGCAACACAGGGAAGGCGCTACTTGCAACACAGGGAAGGCGCTACTTGCAACACAGGGAAGACGCTACTTGCAACACAGGGAAGACGCTACTTGCAACACAGGGAAGGCGCTACTTGCAACACAGGGAAGACGCTACTTGCAACACAGGGAAGGCGCTACTTGCATCACAGGGAAGACGCTACTTGCAACACAGGGAAGACGCTACTTGCAATACAGGGAAGACGCTACTTGCAACACAGGGAAGGCGCTACTTGCAACACAGGGAAGACGCTACTTGCAACACAGGGAAGACGCTACTTGCAACACCTGGAAGATGTTACTTGCCACACCAGGAAGACGCTACTTACAACACCTGGAAGATGTTACTTGCAACACCGGGAATACGCTGCTTACAACACCTGGAAGATGTTACTTGCAACACCGGGAAGACGCTACTTGCAACACCGGGAATATGTTACTTGCAACACCGGGAAGACGCTGCTTGCAATACCGGGAAGACGCTACTTGCAACACCTGGATGATGATACTTTCAACACCGGGAAGACGCTACTTGCAACACGGGGAAGATGCTACTTGCAACACCGGGAAGACGCTACTTGCAACATCGGGTAGATGCTATTTGCAACACCGGGAAGACGCTATTTGCAACACCGTGAAGACGCTACTTGCAACACCTGGAAGACGCTACTTGTAACACCGGGAATATGTTGCTTGCAACACCGGGAAGACGCTACTTGCAACACCGGGAAGATGCTACTTACAACACCAGGAATATGCTACTTGCAACACCGAGAAGACGCTACTTGCAACACCGGTTAGATGTTACTTACAACACCAGGAATATGCTACCTGCAACACCGAGAAGACGCTACTTCCAACACCT